TGACCCCATCTTTCTATATTCTTGTGCATTTTACTATTTTCATTATCTATGTCTCAACTATCTTCTGTGTTCTTCTTTTCTTTAATTTTTTTTCTTTAAAAGACAGGGCTGTATGGAGCATAGAGATCAAACTACATTATATTTAATCTATTTCAGGTTTAAAGCAGCAGGTAGGAGCCAAATGGAACTAGGGAACATATTGTCATCTTAATATCTGTCGTGTATTACAGTGGGATGATTTTTAAAATTTTTATTAATTATTTATTACAATTCACTTTGTATCCTGGCTATGGCCTCCTCCCTTCTCTACTCTGAAACCTTCCTTTCTTTTCCCTAGTCACCCTATGCCCCTCCCCTAGTTCACCAATGGGGTGGGTCCTCCTCCCCTTCTATCTGACCCTAGCCTATCAGATCACATCAGGACTGGTTGCATTGTCCTTCTCTGTGGCCTGGCAAGGCTGCTACCTTGCCACCTCAGGGGGAGGTGATCAAAGTGCCTGCCACTGAGTTCATGCCAGAGACAGCCACTGCTCCCTTTACTAGGGACAACCCACTTGGATACTGAGTCTATGTGCTACTTCTAAGCAAGGGTTTTATGTTCTCTCATTGCATGTTTCTTGGTTGGAATATCAGCCTCTGCAGGGCCTCCAGGGCCCAGTTTTTTGTTTGTTTTTGTTTTTGACTCTGTTGGTCTCCTGTCCCCTCCAGGGCTTTCTATATTTACCTTCTTTCATAAAATTTCATGCACTCTGCCCCAAGTTTGGCTATGAGTCTCAGCCTCTGTTTCCATACCTCAAACAGTAGAGTCTTTCAGAGACCATCTGTGGTAGGCTTCTGTCCTGTTCCCTGTCTTCTCCTGCTTCTGATGTCATAGACATTGATCTATGGCTATAGCAGAATTTTACAGGGAGTCATTTACATGCTGTGTTCATTTAGAAGTACAATATTATTTTGTTTTTCCCTAGGCCCGTGGTCTGTTAAGTCTCATTTGTTGACCACTCAAGCCTTGTCAGGCAGGAATGCCATGCCATGGAGTGGGTGTTAATTCCAGCCAGTTAAGGGTTGGTTACTCCTGGGTTGTGTCACAGTAACATCAGCGCATCCTGCAGGAACCACTTAGATCACAGGGTCTGTAGCTGTTCTGGTGTTTACCTTTCTCCTCTGGTAGCATGCTAAGGACCTTCCAGTACTGTAAGCACTAATCAGGAAGGGTGAAGACTGCTTAAGCAGTAGCTTGAATTTTTCATATTTGGAGTTATGTAAGTGCTATCTATACTAATAGGGTATTACCACCAGTTAGTGGGGAACATCCAAGAATGTTCACAGTAGCCTAGAGTTTTTGTTTGTTTACTTATTTTGTTTGTTTGTTTGTTTTGGATTTCCTTGATGCTCCTTGGGTCAGAACTCAGATGAAGTTTCACTTCTTATGGCACAAGCTCTCCCATTATTTGGCAACTCCATTTACATTTTATTCATACTTGTAGATATTTTAAGAAGCTTCTGATGTAGTAGGTTTTCATAGGACCCATCAAATGGCTGGCTGTGTTAGTCATCTCTCACTGCATTCTTTCCCATATACTATCTTCCATTCCACTTAACCCTTTCATTCCATTCTGTCCTTGGTCTCTCCATAACTATATATTCAATTTCCCCTTCCTTGGAAGATCTCACCCTCCACATTAGTCCTTTATACTTATACTCTGTGGTTATATGAATTGTAGCTATATTGCTTTTAACCAAACAATTAATAACAGATATCCACATATAAGAGTACACATATTGCATTTGTTTGTTTTGTTTTTTTTTTTGGGGGGGGTTGTCTGGGTTAACTCAGAATGATTTTTTTTCTAGATCCATTAATTTGTTGATGGACATTTTAATTTCTAGCTATTATTAATAGAAAATCAAGAAACATGGATAAACAAGCATCTCTCTAGCAACATGTAGAATCCTTTTGGGGTATATGCCAAAGAGTGGTATAGCTGGATTTGAGGTAGAGCTATTCACAGCTTCCTGAAAAATAGCCACTGTAGAAGTTTGCAGTCCATCAGAAATGGATGGGTACGTCTCTTTCCCCATATCCTCCCCATCATGGGCACTATAGGTTGTGATTTTTTAAATTTATCTAACATTCTGACAAATATAAGATAAATATCAAAGTAATTTTAATTTGCACTTTCTTGATTATTTAGGAAATGTTTAAAATTTTAAAACTTTTCTCATTTTTGTGAACATTATGCTTATTTCTATACCCCATCATTTGTTATGTTATTTGTTTTTCTAACGTCTGGTTTTTAGTTGTGTATATTTTAAATATTCACTCTCTATTGGATGTGTAATTGGTAAATATTTTTCTTCTGTACCATGTCACTTTATCCAAATTATGCTGTCCTTTACCATACAGAAACTTTTCAGTTCCGTGAAATTCATTTTATTATTTACTCATTTATTTTTTAAGTCTTTAGTATAAAGCATTTAAATGAGTTTTATTCCATGAGGAGTTTTCTGGGCTGTCTACAGTATCATCGTTGTGTAAAGGATTTAACAAAGCAAATTGACAGTCCCTTCCTTTTGGGGACTTATACGGCTGCACATTAAGGTAGCACAAAGACAGTACAGCGGTGTTCAGCGTACCCACAGGTAGAAGTCTACTGAGGGTCATCGGGCTTTGACTGACTTCTCGATTCTATGCAGGAATTCCCATTTGGTGTGAGTACATGCATATGTATGTTGTAATCGCCACAGAAAAAGTTGTCTGATAAAACATGTGCTGAACCCATTAAGTGTTTCTGCAAACTTGTTCTTCAACAGAAAATTATTAGAGAGAAAACATTTGAGTCAACTAAAGTAAGGAAGATTGTGCTCACTGCCGAGAAGTACATACAGCCACAAAAGGATTTTTTTTAATTTTAATTTAAAATTTTTTTCACAATTTATTTATTATATATCCCTATTGACGCCTCCTCCCTTGACTCCCGCCACCACCACCCTCCTTTCCTCTTCCCCGCAAACCCTTCACCTAGCCAATGAAAAGGGGTGTTCTCTTCCTTTGCCATCTGCCCATAGCTTATCAAGTCTCAACAGGACTACCTGGATCTTCTTCCTCTGTGGCCTGGCAAGACCACATCGCCAGGGACAAGTGATCAAAGAGCAGGCAATCAAGTTCATGACAGAGGCAGCTCCTGCTCCCCTTACTCAGGGACCCACATGGAGACTGAGCTGCCAATGGGTTACATCTGAACAGGTGTTCTAGGTGCTCTTGTGCATAATTTTTTTAAAGGGCTCAATACAGACAGAATGTAGGGTCTCTGGGAGACACAGGGAGGAGGATGTTCCCTTCTTTCAATTCAAGGAGGAGTGAGAGAGGTCTATGAATGTCAAATAAAGTCCAATATATTAATTGTTGTTTCTAGTGTTTTTGCTACAAGTGCACTATCCAGAAAGCCTTTTCCTGTGCCAGTTATGTCAAGAGTATTCCGTACTTTCTCTTCTGTCAGATTCAGCATATCTGTTTGTGTGTGTGTGTGTGTGTGTGTGTGTGTGTGTGTGTTGATGTCCTTGATCCATTTGGACTTGTGTTTTGCTCAAGGTGATACATATGGATCTACTGGCATGCTTCCACATGTACCCATCTAGTTTGACCAGATCCATTTGTTGAAGATAGTTTCTTCTTTCCAGTGTGTATTTCTGAATGATTTATCAAAAAGTCAAGTGTTAATTGATACATGGCTGTTCCATTCTCAATTTTTGCTTTCAAAATGGTCCTTTATCATATCGTGATCTCAAACTAGTATCTACGTTTAAGAAAATGTTATGTTAAAAAACGTTCTGTGATTTGATTTTCTCAAAAAGCCTATGGCATAGAACTCTGACACAGAGTGAGTCCTATGTTATGTTTAAGTACAGCAAAGTCAATGAAAGCATTAACAGTTCGATGACTGTAGAATGATCCCACAGAGACAGCTCACTATTGGAGGTTTTGAAGCCATCCCCACCCCTTGCACACGCACAGACGCGCACACACACACACACACACACACACACACACACACACACACACCAGTCTGTGAAGACGGTGAAATTTATGAGTAGCACGAGCACAGGCTATTGATTCAAACTTGTCATGGAAATAGGAAGGTGAGAGGGGAAGTGAGGTCAAAATGCCCACAAACAGGCACTCTCACAGAGGTCAGAAAGTTGTGCTTTAATAAAGACTCTGCAGATTGTAAGAGCATTTTTTTCCAGAGAAACGGCAAACGGATTTGACAAGTTCCCCCACTGCGCACATTTATTTCTAAAGAGGTTTTCTGGTTCGTCCCCGCAGTTCTGAGGCTAACGTTTGCGCTTGGTTGTGATACACAGAAGTGAGTCTTCCGGACATTTCCTCGGGAATGGCCGTGCATTTGTTCCCCCAAATATCAAAGAGCATGGATATTTATTCAAATGGCCAGTATATGATCTTTAAAATTAAATCCTGGCTGGGAGTTCAGTATTGTGCTAGAGTTCATGGTTAGCATAAGTGAGGATATGATTTAATCTTAATGTCTCCAAACAAAATGAAACAAAACAAAATATTCTGTTCCAGAATATGACTCTAAGTTCTTTCACTGAGAACATACTATGTTAATAATTAATTTTTTCTTAATATGTACATCTATAAATGATATAAAAATTAGTAAATTATGTCTAACGTGTAATTAGCAATTTATTTTTAGTTATAAGATAACTTCTTGGTACAGCTTATACATCTAAAATTTAACGTATAAAATTATACTAGCATACTTAATTTTTACATTTGAAATTAACATGAAAAGTAGTCCTTATCATTGATAACTCACTTTAAGAGAGGGTGTATCTTAAGTAACTATTAAGTTAGGTCAACATCTTTTATGTTTACTTTGACATTTCAATTGCTTAAAAATGTTTAATGCATTTGTTTTGCTCCTGAAAAGAAATGACTACTTAAGTAGCCAACTCTGTGATTTTTTTTTTCCCTGTAGGACTTCGGTGATGATGGGTCCTTGTATATCACAAAGGTAACCACAGTTCACATGGGAAATTATACCTGTTACGCAGAAGGCTATGAAAATGTCCGTCAGACACACATCTTCCAAGTGAATGGTAAGAAGCACAGTGTTTCTGTAGCTATTTTTGCTCAGGTGATGATGGACCTAACAGTTGACTGGACAGTACGTTAATTTTAGCAAGGTTCTAATTTTTGTTTCTGTTTTCATTAGCATAGTATCATTTATTTTTATGTCCTCAAGTGAATTAACACTATAAATTGTTAGTAACAATTTAGTCATCATAAAGAGTTGCAAAGTAACATTTTAAAGCATAGGAAATTTAAGTGATTGGCTTTAGTTGAAAATATCAATAACTATGAAAACATGAATTTTAAAAACTGTTAAGATTAGCAATTTAGAATTTTAAATAATTTTAGCTGTTTGACTACTCTTACTAACATTATAGAAAATTCTTACCTATTTTTGTGGCCTGGTATCAGGTGTAACTCCAATATGTGTGTTGTGTAGAAAAATTCAGAGGTGAATCTCATCCTTAACTAGAAACTGAGGCTAGCCTGGGCAAATTGGCTTTGTCTCAGGTTTAAGGATTGTTTGGTGTTTGTTTGTTTGTTTGTTTGTTTTTGGACTGTGTTATATATGTGAAGCACATATTGAGTGGTTGTAATTTTAATTAAAATAAACATATCAAAACCCTTTGTTTATCACAGATTTCACCTGAGTTGACCTAAAATGCTATGCGTGAGGGGAGAAGTAGGTAAATATTGCTATGAAAACACAAGCACACAGAAAGATTACTCTCATTGGTTGAGATTAGCTTTTAATATGTTAATTTTGGGATAATTATTGATGCAAAGTCAAATATTCAAGAGTGAAGACTTACAGTCATCCTTGTATATTTAGGTTCTTCGTTTAAAGTTTGAATCAAATCAAGCTCAAGCTTGATTGGATCACTTTAGGAATGTGTGTAGATTGTATGTGGACTCCAAGGTCCGAGTGTTGGATCTAAAATTACAAAGAGAAAGAAGTCAGAGGGACAGCAAGTGTGAGGGAGCCAATGTCCATGAACTTAGTTAAGGGAACAGTCTAAACTGCTGGAAAATTTGGGTTAGGGGCTTAGCTTGTGTAGCTAGGGGTAAAGTACTTGTGTAGAAAACAAGAAGCAAGCATGTGCTCAGTCTCCAGCAGACACTGCACTCTGGACATGAAGGCAGGCACATCAGAAATTCAGTTCTTCCTCAGCTACATGGGATTTTGATGCTAGCTTAGAAATCTGTCTCTCTCTTCTGCTTTCAATAATTTTGTTTAATTTAGATAATACCTTTCAAAACAGTGTAAGGAAGCAGTCATCCTATTGAAACTGTATACACACTGAGAGAAAAGAGCATTTAAAATGTGTAGGAAAAGAGATAAAGCAATTTTGAATTATATATGTACATGTGTGGATATTTAAATGTGAGGAAAAGATTTTTTCTAAGGTCACTACAACACTTTTTCCTGATTTCTCGCACACTGTAATTACGATGCACACTCCTTCACATACACTATATCTTATAACATCATACCTATTTACAGCATAATAGTTTTTAAAATTCACCACTGTAAAACTACCTGTGAAATATATACTTGTCCTCACAGTTGTCTGTTGACTAGACTTCATTGCTCTTTACGTGTTCTGTTAACATAGTTACTAAGTGGCAGTGGGAAATCTTACGTGCTCTTTCTCAGTGTAGTGGGAAACATATTGGTATATCTCTTATGCTTAAAAATAATCTGGCTTAGAACTCTTTTTTAAAGAGACATTAATAAATAAAATAAAGCTAGACAACACAGTGAGTCTGACGATCCTTGACACACAAGAGTAACAGATGCTTTCTTTGGTTTCTGGGGTAACCTCAGTAAGAACCTAGCCTTGGGTCAAGTTTGGAGTCAGCTTCCAATGGAAACAGTGAAGAAAACAAAGCAATGGTGTACTGTGTTGAGTTTCAGGCCTTGTTAACTGGAACAACACCTGAGCTACTTCTCCAATTTAGTCCAGCCAAAGGATGGATGATGTAACTGACATAGTAAGACCCATCCTCATTTCCCTTTTAGTAGTAGTTGACTTCTAGACAAGTCCAGTACCCTGAACTTTCTCACATTTTTGGTGATTAAGGCACAACTATGCTACTTCACTGTATCGCTAGCCATTAGTTTTTACCTCTTAACATCACTTACTGTGAGTCTCATTCCTACTTCTTTCAGCCTAGCGACTTGGTTCTTCTTTCATGAGCCTAGTTAATATTCTACCTGCTTCAGAACTATATTTTAAAAGATCAAAAATGCAAGCCCCAATTTTCATCAGTTACTCTGGACTTACGGTTTGCAGTTGGCATTCCCAGACAAACTGGAGAATATGTTGCTGGGAGCTTCTGTCACATGGGAGGTCATGAGAATCACTATACATGGTTGTGCTTCATTAGTTCTTGTTCCTCCTTCCTGTCCGAAGCAGGTTCTGAAAGTCAGCCCCTCACTGAGCTCCAGCTAAGAATTTGGGGGATCTGAGCCAAAATACGGGTTTCTGTGTTGTAGGACTTGTTTCTAGGCACTATGCTTATTCCTTGTTTATTCTCTCTTGTGAATGAACTGTTTGTAGTCTGATGTCACATTTTTCTCAAAGATGGAATATGGTTTCAAAAGGAGAGACCTCAGAAATGAAGGCCAACCACCATCAACCATGACCTTATGAATTAATTACAAGCATTTCTACATAAACAGCTATCATCTCTATCGAATTCTTTGTGTGTGTGTGTGTGTGGTAATATAATTTTGTAGAACTTTATTCATTTCTGGGCAATAAAAATTAACAAATGTGATATTTATAGAGAATTTGATGTTTCCCATGAGTTCCATGCAACTTCAGACATTATTATTATTATTATTATTATTATTATTATTATTTACAATTTGTTCACTTTGTGTCCCAGTTGTATCCCCTCCCTCAACTCTTCTTATTCCCACCCTCCCACACTCATGCTCAGTCCCTCCATTCTACCCTCTCCTTCTCAGAGAAGACGATGCCCCCCCAGAGTCACCAACTCACCTTGGACACCTCAAGTCACAGTAGGACTCAGTGCACTTTCTCCTACTGAAGACAGCCAAGGCAACCCAGCTAGGGAAAGGGAGCCAAAGGCAAGGCGACAGAGTCAGAAACAACCTCTCATTCCATTCTTAGGGGACTCACAAGAAGAGCAAACTGTACATCTGCTGCATAAGTGCACAGGGTTTAGGTCCAGAACACGCATGCTCTTCAGATGATGGTTCAATCTCTGTGAGCCCCCATGGGCCCAGCTTGGTTTACTCTGTAGGTGTTCTAGTGGTGTCCTTGACCTCTCTTGCACCTCTAATCCTTGCAGCCTCTCTTCCACAAAACTCCCTGAGCCCAGCCTATTTTTTGGCTGTGGGTCTCTGCATATGTTTCCGTCATTGTCTGAATGATGCTGAGTTATGCTAGCTCCCTGTCTTCAAGCACAGCAGAGTATCATTGATAATGTTAGAGGTTGGCTCCATCCATGGGGTGGATCTCAAATTGGGCCAGTTGTTGGTTTGGCATTCCCTCAATCACTGTTCCATCCTAATCACTACACTTTTTGTAGGCAAGACAAATTAGATGGAAAGTTTGATGGGTGGGTTGGCGTTACGTTCCCTCTAATGGAAGTCCCATCTGAGTAGAGGATGGTTACTTTGAGCTCCATATGCCCTGCTGCTAGGAGTCTCAGCCCAGGGCAACACCATAGACTCTCAGATGGCAGCTCTGTCCCAGAGATGCACTCTCTCCTGCTCTTCCACACCTGATCCCAATTCGGTTTATTCTCCCCAGCCCTTCTCCCATCCATTTCTCTTGCTCCATTTACCTCAGATGTTTGTTTTATTTCACCTTCTCATTGAGATTCAAGCATCCTCCATGTTATCTCACTCAGGATGATCTTATCTAATTCCATGCATTTACCTGCAAATTTCATGATTTCCTTATTTTTGATAGCTGAGTAGAATTCCATTGTGTAAATGTACTACATTTTCTTCATCCATTCTTTAGTTGAAGGACATTTATGTTATTTCTAGTTTCTAGCTATGACCAGTAAAGCTGCTGTGAACATAGTTGAGCAAATGTCCTTGTATGGTGGAGCATCTTTTGGTATATGACCAGAAGTATAGCTGGATCTTGAGGTAGATCTATTCCCAGTGTTCTGAGAAAACTCTAGATTGATTTCCAGAGAGACTGTACAAGTTGGAACTCCTACCAGCAATGGAAGAGTGTTCTCCTTGCTTCACATCCTAGCCAGCATGTGCTGTCACTTCAGTTTTTGATCTTAGACATTCTGACAGGTGTAAGAGGGATCTCAGAAGAGTTATAATTTGCATTTTCCTAATGTCTAAGGACTTTGAACATTTCTTTCTTTTAATTAATTTTTTATTATTTTATGTATTAATTACAGTTTATTTACTTTTTATCTTAGCTGTAGCTCCCTCCCTCATTCCCTCCATCTTCCCTCCCTCATCTCCTCCCTGCTCCTTTCTAGGTCCACTGATGGGGGAGTTCCTCCTCCCCTTCCATCTGATCCTAGCTTATCAGGTCTCTTCACGACTGGCCACAATGTCCTTCTCTGTGGCCTGGCAAGGCTGCTCCTCTTTCAGGTGTGGGTGGGGGAGGTCAAAGAGTCAACCATTGAGTTCATGTAAGAGACAGTTCCTGTTCCCCTAACTAGGGAACCCACTTGGATACTGAGCTGCTATGGGCTACATCTGGGCAGGGGTTCTAGGTTACATCCATTTATGATCCTTGGTTGGAAAAACAGTCTCAGAGAAGACTCCAGATATCTGGGCCCAGATATATTTGGTCCTTTTGGATTTCCTGTCTTCTCCAGGTCATACTAACTTCCCCTTCTTTCATAAGATTCCCTGCACTCTGCCCAAGGTGTGGTGATGAGTCTCAGCATCTGTTTTGATACACTGCTAGGTAGAGTCTTTCAGTGGTCCTCTGTGGTAGGCTACTGTGCTATTACTTGTTTTCTCCTATTTCCAATGTCTATCGCATTTGTCTTTCTAAGTGAAGATTGA